GAGGTGGAACACCTGGAGAGCTGGTGCAAAGAGAATAACCTTCACATCAATGTGAAGAAGACAAAGGAGATGATTGTGGACTTCAGAAGGAACAAAAACATCTACACCCCCCTGAACATAAGATGATCTGCGGTGGAAGTGGTCTCCAGCTACAAGTACTTGGGTGTACACATGAATGACAACCTCAGCTGGAGCAACAACACCACCAGCCTGATCAAGAAAGCTCATCAGAGACTCTACTTCCTCAGACGGCTGAGGCGAGCTGGTCTGGAAAGCTCAGTCCTCACCTCCTTCTACAGGTGTGCAGTGGAGAGCATCCTGTGCTCGAGCATCAACGTGTGGCATGGAGGCTGCACAGCTGCAGAAAGAAAAGCTTTGCAGAGTGGTGAAGGCTGCACAGAAATCTGTCGGAATCAGCCTCCCCACCATCACAGATATCTACACCTCCAGATGCAGGAAGAGGGCCACCTGCATCATGAAGAACCCCACTCACCCAGCACACACACTTTTTGCCCCACTCCCCTCAGGAAGGAGGTTAAGGAGCATTAAGTGTAGAACCACTAGACTGAGGAACAGCTTCTACCCTGAGGCTGTTAGACTCATGAATCTCTAACTAGAATAATCACTGTGAAAAACCATATCATGTTGCTGCTGATCTGTTTCATGCTGCTGCTGATCTGTTTCAATGTTGATGTGTTCATGCGTGCACATCTGCTCACAGACTCATGTTCATGTTTGTGCTGATGTTCAATGTTTTTATGTTATGAGTGCTTAGTGTATATTAAGTTGATGTTTTTCTTAGTTCATATCTTAGATGTTATTACTGTTTTTCTTATACATTTTATTGTTGGATGTAACTGGGACCCTGAGTACATAATTTCGCTCCACCACATGTACCACATGAGGTGCGAATGACAATAAAGAAACTCTGACTCTGACTCTCTGACTCTGATACAGAGGACCCAGCTGGACCAGAACTACACTTGGAAACACACAGATTGTTGGCCTCATAAAACGTAAATATGTATGGCACTAATGAGCCTGTTTTAGTTTATATTAAAGGAAGATTGTTGTTTTAGTGACTCCAGAAGGGTGGTGTGTGTGTGTGTGGGGGGGGTCCTTTCTTTGATTTAGGTTTCTACCTTTTCATAACAACATAAATAAAGAAATCTATAACATCTCTTTTATGAAACCAGGATGATGTGTTAAAACATTTTATTTCCATTTGGGATTAATAAAGTATTTTTGAATTTGAATTTGAAATGAGTTTAAATGCTGAATATAAGCCAGCCACATCTTTGACATAATCTATGACAGAGCAGAGTCCTACACTTGTATTGTTCCCCGTCACGGAGCAAAGAGGGGGAATGGGAACTAGAAATGCCGACCGTCTGTCCGTCCATCCGTGCGTGTTGTGAGCATGATGGCTTGAAAATAAGTGAGGTTCCGTAAACTTTTTGTATGTGGGATCACCAGTGGTGACATGACAGTTGCCACGTGAAGAAAAAA